AATGGTAAGGTTACTCAAATCGTATCTAAGAATAATATTCAATTATAATATTATTATTATTATTAATTTTTACAATTATTACCAAAATATTTGTTCTTCTTTTCGTTAATTCATGCACATAGATCGTGCACAGCCCTATTCTGGGTAACCACGGTAAGCATTGAATCGCATTTACTGCATGATCTTTTGCACAAACTTCCTTCCGCATTATCTGTATTATTATTATTATTATTATATTATCACAGACGTCTTGGTGTATGCGTGATCTATATATATCTACAGTTTCCTGAACGTTTAATATTAATACGCAATTTGGTCCGTTGTCTCGCGAACTATGGATATGATATATGTACGGGTGAACACGCATGTGTTTCGGTACCTATCTAATATTTATGCGAGCATTGCGAGAGGATACAAATGACGATAACGTGCTTCTATTTCGTTCTATTCTCTGGCAGTATACGTAGTAGCTCTCGGTGTCCTTGCGGTCGAAAGTTTTCCAACTGCTTTCAGCAGCAGCAGCAGCAACGCGTTTCTGGAAAGTTAGTCGAAACGTTCGCAGCTTGATCAAAGCAGACCCTTGTGCGTCGTTGTGCTCTTTACTCAATAAGATTCTACAAATATATTTTTAGTGGTACTAGCGAACAAAAAAAAATATATATATTTATCTAAATAGTTTTTCCTTTACTTTTGATGAATTTTCTAGATAGAACGTCTGTCGAAAATGCGAATCAAAAATAACAGATTTAAACCCGGGCAAATTGGAAATGGACTCTCGATCGATGGATTTCAACGAAATAGATATAATTAAAAGCTGAAATTGCTCTTTTACGTATAGGAAATATTCGGTAACGTTTGAATTATTAGATGAATATAATTGATGTATAAATTATATAACTCTCGTATCTGTCTATAAAAAGGAAAATTTGATAGCTAATCATTGCAATCTCTAAACAAAATGAAATTCTATAAAGTATTAAACGTGATACGTGAGTTTGTTTCGTTAATAATTAAATTCATTTCATCGATCGAATTATTTCGCATTAGTATTCATTATCTCTTGAAACATTATTTAGATTAAAAATTCATTTGCAGGAGTGTATCATTTATTGGATGTAAAAAAATTCATTAAATCGAATCGAAAGAAGAAGGTGTTCTTACGGTAACTCGTCTGAATTATAAAACACCTGCGTGTGTGTATCGGAGGGTCCGAAATTATCATAGCACGAACAGCCACGAGGAAGTCTTTGAACTTTCGTATTACCATTTTGAGTGGTTTCACGTGTCTGCCAGCGCAGTTGTACTTCTCCGCGCGTAACATACGACGTTTCGCAAGCAGCGTCGCCAACATACATATCTAGCAGCATGCAAGTAAGCAACCAACCGACCTATCCGCGTATCTACCTAGATGAGTCTCCATGCGGAGACAAACTTTCGCGTTAAGGGCAATCTCGCAAAACGTTGAATTAAAATTTCGTCGCGTCTGACCACGAGCCACGAGAACTTCTATTTGCATGAACGTAATTAATGTAAAATTTGAGTCACTCAAGTAATACGTAGGTACGTTGTTTCTTTACTATTTACGTGCAACTGACAGTAAAGTGTTTCTTCAAGAAAATATCGTTTAAGAAAATAAAAGCTTAGATCATGCGATTCGAACAGTTTCAAGGCATAAAGAAGAGAAAGATGTTGAAGAAGTAGGAGATACTCTTATAGTACTATCGCGAAGCATCTTTCGTATTCCATGAGTATCCCATGGCTGGAGTAAGTTTAAGGTAACTGAGACCTTAGAGAACGAACGAGAGAAAGAGAACTCGGGAGTTGGCATGTCGTAACAATATACATATGTATACTCTTGTTGCAAGGTAACGGAAGTACGCATAAATATACATTTTTATGATGGATGTACTTGCGAGAGAAATACCGCGTATATCTATATATATACACGAATACATATCGTTTCGGGATGAAGATTATAAAGGTGTAGAGAGGAAGGGAGGGAAGGAAGGAAGAAAGGAAGGAAGAAAGGAAGAAAGGAAGATAGGAAGGAAAGACGGTTTCAGGTGTAGCTCGACTCGGTCTTGCTTGTTTCAGGTTCGTGTTCGCTCACACCTCGCATAACCGAGTCTCGTAAAAGGATCTCGAAACGTTTCTAGTCTTGCTTCGTTTCTTTTACATCTTCCCTCGCATCCGTCGCATCTTTCATCTTTTTCTGCTTCTGCTTTTTCTTTTTCTCCCCCCCCCCCGATATCTTTCTTAGATGTTTCCCTATCGATCACGATATCGTAAACCGGTGCTCTTTGACCGGAAACACTGAATCTACACCCTTGTGCCTGGCACGTTTCACCTCTGAGAGTTACTTTATATCTCTTTACGCGAGGATCAAAAATCCTCACCTGCCATCGATTGCTGATACCAAAGAAATTTATGTAAAAGTAACCGAAACTTTTATAAAACAAAAAAATAACCACACCATGCTATATTTGACAAAAACATTTCCGATCGGATTTTGTTAATAACAAAACAATCTCTACCGATCGCGATTCGTGGTTCACCCTGGATAGTGGAAAACGAGCAATTGGACTCTTAGAAAAATTCATATTTTATTTTTCGTTCGTCAAGGAAAACTGTAAATCTGTCGTCATCGTTTCAGATGTAATTAATCCGAAGTGCGTGTAACTAAGTACAGTTACTTTCGTCATCGTTCTACGTTGTACCCTGTATAGTAATTTAGGACGGCATAATGCACACTGTTCTTACTACCATCACACCTAATTATTGCATATTCTCCAAACGAAGGTAATCTTAGCTCTCTGTGACATTTAACCGAACACCAGCCTTTCCCATTAGGTTGACATAATTACACGAAATGCCGCAGACTGATCACTGAGGGAGAAAGCACTTTACGAGGTAGTACATCCTTATCGCATTTCAATCATTTTCACTTATTTATTTTGAAGTTAATTGCTAGTAGTATCGTCTACGAGGCAAATTTATTAAACGCGGAAACGAACCTACAATTTTCTATATATCCTACTCTATAAATATTCTTTTTTTTTTTCATGGAAGAAAAGGAAGTGTAGATAATGAGGAAGAGGGTTAGAGAAATAATAGTTGGCGCAAGAAAGGGAAGATAATAAAATCGAAAAAGGAGAGAGAGATAAAGGAACACAGTCGTGATTCTTTCTTACGGTAGAAAAATAATCGGAACCGAATCAACTCACGTTGAACCTAGACTGCGGAAGTGTATACGTTAGAATAGCAGGTATTGCTCGAGAAAGATGGTTCGTGTGAGGTTTGCTCTTATCGATTGCGTTCGCCCTCTTATCGCCGCTTCAGATTTATGGGGAGGTCGGTGACGTACGTGAGTGCATACATACGAAGAATTTTAATACCGTGCTTTTCCAAATAAAATTTATAGATATTCGTGTACGTTTAAATAAAAAATAAAAAAGAAAGAAAAGAAGGATAATTAATATTTACAACGTTACGTTATCCAAGTTGTCTCATTGTAAGAGTTTCTCGGTTAAAAGAAAATCGCATCGTTTGCTCGTAAAAAATGTAAGGAAGGAAGGAAGGAAGTCTAAAAAAGAGAAAGCTTGTAAGCAGACAGACAGACAAACAGACAAGCAGACGTATCCCATCGTGTTTCAATGATAAGAAGGGAGGGCATCTTTGTCAAAGCTCGTCGAAGTTGAGACCAATAGTAATAGATATAATTCTGAGTAGTAAGAGATAAGCTTATAAGAATAGGGATAGACGAGTTTTTCTCAGGCGTATTTGGCAAAATATTATTCTACTTTTATGTCTATGGGAATTTTCTGTAATAACTGCAAGGAACAAGACGACGTTGATTGGTGCCATGTTGCCTTTAACGTCTTGCCTGTCCTTCTGAATTATTACACTTGACGACCCTAGGACGTGTATTAAAATCCTTTTAACCGGACATAAATAAAGGTACGTTAGTCTCCAAGTAATCTCCGGGGAGGATTACCTCAGACACACTGGTCAGGCCCTAGAGAGAGAAGATATTCTCGTTTACCTTTGTGTCATACCAGCTTGCTTCAACGCAACCACTCTACAGAGGGATGCTATTGAGAGGAAGGGAGCAAGAGAAACCCTTAGTTGCAGCACCCTTAACCGAGCCCTCATCGTCTCCGAAATGTTGCCTCCGTTTACAACATCGCTTTATTGTTTGTTTGTTCCCTCATACCTGAACGTATCATATAAGACAGCTTAGTCTTACCTAAGCCACTTTTCCAAATCATTTTCGATTTCTCGTTTTGATATTATTTTTATAAATGACTAGCTACAATTGCAATAAAAATTAGTAGACATTCGGACAAATGATGATGAATCGATCGGAACGGGTATGTGAAAAATGTGTTTTTTCAAAAATACCTCTCGCGTATTTTTATCCTAGGCCAGTGTTGGTAAAAATGAAAGACAAAGCAATAAATTTTAATTATCTTTCATGCAGTCGAGAATATTTGCTTTTCTTTATCACTTTAATTGAATCTGATAAAATCAACCGAATTGCATCTAAGTCGTTTATCATATTGTTATGATCGTGTAAACGATATTATGCCTTTCCACGAAAAACTTATCGTTCGATAAGACAAAATCATATAGATGAAACAAATCATTCGATCGTAGATCAAACGAAGATTTGAAACTATGTAAATGATAAAAGTAATGTTAGCATAGAAGAATGTTCATCTTCATGACTTACTTTCGATCGATAAGAAAAGGAACAAAGTTTCCTATAATATCGACGGGAATTTCATGAAACAAACGTCGATACGATCGTCCGAAAGCTCGCTCGATATATTGTTTAGAAATAGAACAAGGAGAAGTTTGGTCTTGAGATCTAAGGTAGGTAGAATATTATCGTATTAGTCAAGAAAATGAGGTTCTCGTATGAATGGGCAGATGTCGAGAGGCGGCTCGTAACCGGTTCGATCCGGTGCATACCGCGCACCAGGAGACGCGCATTTCATTGACCAGTCCATGGTCGAAGCCGTAAGATCAAGCCAATAGTGACCGTGCGGTGCCTACGGGAACACGTTTCGGTTCGTCAGTTTCGTTAGCGGGTACGTTCCCTAATACAGTAGTACGTGGAAACAAAAGGAAAAAAAGAGAAGTAGTACAAAGGGAGTCTCCATCTTTGTTTATTCAGTCGGGTAGTCGTCTAGCTAGGTCGAGTGGAAAGGAAATAACGAAAGAGGAAGAACAAGAAAAAGAAAAAGAAGAAGAAGAAGAAGAAGGGTCTTTCGATTATCATCGTCTCATAGTCGTCATAATCGTCGACTACTTACTTATATTATCCATTTATTTCGATCTTTAACCAATTTTAAGAAGCTAAAGGAAAACTGCAACTCTTCTTCAGCAATACCAGTATTCAGCGGCGAGAATCGCGCAGCAGGACTAGGTGAGTCATCCTCGTCCTCTGTGAGATGGTGGTGGTGGTGGTCTACCTTTTACGATTTCGAAAGTAAAAAAAAAAAAAAAAAAAGAAAGAAAGTCATCTCGAAGCGATCGATCCTCGAATTAACTCTCACCGATATGAGATATACACGATAGATCATAATTTACTTTTTTTATCATGTCAAATATCGCGTGTAACTTTTTGCTTGGTAAGAAAAGAAAAATTTGAAGAATAAAATAATCGTAGGTAGGTCACGATTAGTGCAATACTAGGTCGGTGTTAGGTCGGTACTAGGGCGGTACTAGGTCTCGTAAAGTATAATGAAATAGACGCGCTAGATAACGACGGCGATGACGGGGATGACGACGATGACGATGACGATGCCGTTACATCGCCGTCGGATTATTATTATGACGCCGTCTGACGTCGGTTCTGGTGCTAGTGGCGCTGCCAACCAAAGCCCGAGTCAAGCTAGATCGATCTGTTTCCTGTCCCGTCGAACCGGACTACTACTTTCTTCGATCCTCTCCTATATTATATATGTTTCATTTGTTCTAAATCAAATCGTGTTTAACGCTAAATAAGAATAATAATAATCGATGCGGATCCGTTCAAATAAACCAATTATATTTTTTATTATTATACAAATATTTCTATATTGTCGAAAGATTTGCAATCGCATTGAACGCAAGCGTTTTTATTCCAAATTCTAAACCGGTCATCGGCCGGTCGCGCTCTACGTTTAATAACATTCAAGAAAAATTCTAATTTTTTTGATGAATAAAATAAATAATTTTTGAAAACATTTTATTTAAGATCATTCGTTTGGTAAAATTGCGCTCTCACAGAGCCATCCCGATCGATTTTCTTTGCTCGTGCGTGCGACTCAACAATTTCCTCCGATGACGTCCAACTCTGCGAAAACCGCAGCTGATTTTCCTTAAAAACCTTCCAACAAACTTCTTTTTCCATTCCTAAAGAAATTATTTACACCTATATCTCTTAGGTTAATTGAGATAGATGCACTTCTTGCGATATATACGCTGTTTTATTTTATACTTTTTTATTGATACCGATAAAAAGAGATAAACTCGAACGTCGTACGTTTTTTTTTCCTTCTTTTTTCTTTCTCTTTTTCTCAGAGATTTAGAAGAAAATAGATATTTACTTACTCGTTATGAAAGAAAGATCGAGGCTAGATGTTGGTTGTTCTAGTTATGTCGTCTATTACGTCGACATCGAGACGCCTTCGTGTTCCCTAAAGAGATCGATGAGAAGCATTAAACCGTTTGTTTTTATTCAAGAAGTGCAACCTACTTTTTTTTCTGATTTATTTTTTCCTCCTAAAATTTTCAATTAAGAAAATACTGTAATATGCATATAATTACTTATCGACTAATTGTAAAATCGATTATACGCATATGTTTCTCAAATTCTAATCAATTTTTTATGACTTTCTTTTTATCATGTTTCTCATTTTCTAAATATTTGGTTTCAACAGAACAATAAAATTAGACAAAATTATTAGTAGTATCATTCGTTACAACAGAGGAATATTAAGTAAACCTAATGAACACTATATAGATTTCATCGAAATAAAGTAGGGATCCTAAGACAGTCTTTAGGAATATAATTGATCCTTTATTTTTATCCTTAAATAATCACAAGCCTCTTTCGAATCCTCTCTTTCTGGTACATTATAATTTTTAATTCTGTCGTATCGCTAAACGACAATTCGATTACTTGTTATTATTTTCAACGATTAATAGTATATTAAATAAATTGTCGCGTCAAACGAACGAACGTAATTTTTTCTTTCGTATTTAACTGATAAAAATGTAATAAAATTTTCAATGACGAGACAGGAAGAATGATCGATTTATTTTACGTACTCGAGAACGAGCACTTTGTTCTCCATTCGTTCGAGACCATCATGCGGGAGCCGTTAACTTTGGAAAATGAACCGTTAATATAGACGAAGTAGGCGTAATATTTTATATTTTGGTATCGTAATAAAAGATATTTATAATATACACGATTAAAATAGGTTTGTTTCGATCGAAGAAGATCGAGATGAATAAATCGATCGATTAATTTAAACGCGTTTAACATCTCATCTTTTATTCGCATGCGATCGCTTTTAAATATTTTATGCACGTTATAATCGGTGATTTAATAAAAAAGGAAAATAAAAAAAAAAGAAACAAACAAAACGCGTTTATAAAAAAAGGATCTCGATGCAAATCACATCATCATTGTTTTCGTCTTACAATATTAGCATGTTGTGTATCGTTACATATTATACGCGCGATAGACCTATTTATTACGTATACATAGATATATATATGCATACACGCATAAAGACACACACGTATGAAAGCACGGTGAGAGATATTTTGCAGTCAGCATGCTGCCGCGCATAGTTCTATCTCAATGTGTGTATTATCACAGTCACTATGAGATCAATGAGTCTTTTCTGCATGCTGTCTTTGCACCGTCTCATGCATCTATATATATGTCCCCTACTTTTCTATTTTCTTTTTCGTTCTAGCCTTTGTTGAATTCGTGCTAGAACCTATTTTCGTTGCATCGCGTGTATATATAGCGTCGAAAGAAGACAAATTCTCACAAATCTTAAATTCGTAAATGATTAAAATATATATAACGAATAAACTAAATGATAATTATTTTTGGATGCATCGAGAATAAGTCGAAGCACGATAATGACATTTCCTCCTTATCTTGGTTCTTCTTTCTTTTGTTCCTTTGCCTTCGTTCGTTTGCCTTATTGACGTACGAAATTGGCATATTGGCTTCGCGGGCACGCCTATCTATCGTCAAGCAGCACCAGCAGCAGAGAAGAGAAAAGTTGCCGAGGGGAGGGGAGGGCCAGGAAGCTAATCCTCGACGAAGACGTCGGGAACGAGCAAGCGGCTCATTTTTCGAAGGAGACCCCTTGTCATCGTGGGTGAGGAAACGTGACGAGGAACGCCATGCCGGCAGGTATTGGCGCTTCGTACAGGTCCTTAGGCGACCTGGGCGAAGACGTTTACAAAAGCACGACGATCGTTGACCAGACCCAGAGCACCGGCCAAAGCGTTCTCGAGAGCGTCAAGAAGGCTTTCAGCTTCGCTTCCCCTAAAGTGGAGATCAGGAAAAAGGATCCATTGATCGAGGATCGACGAGAGAGCGTATCGATCGTATCAAGGTAATTTCATGCGAGATTACAGGCCCCAGCCCTGCTTTGGTGGTGCTGGTGCTGGTGGTGGTGGTGGCGGTGGTGGTGGTGGTGGTGACGGGTGTTGGTAATCGGCGAACAGGTGCTAGGAAAAGCCGTCTCACGGAGAATATTTTTTTTTCTTCTTTTCTTTTCTTTGTTCTTCGTGCCTTCTCCTTATCGATCGATTGCTTTCATAAGAAAACAACACTCTCCACTACTAGAGTGTCTCCAAAGTGGTTCGAGGTCAAAGACATCTAAAGGTATCTTGGTTTGTTGGGAAAGGGCTTTGCTTTTTTCTATTATACTCGTCAGTTTTTGACTTGACAGCATAAAGGAATCGATTTCATCCGAATTTTGTATCCTATTCCGAACGAAAACTGCTCGCTCGTCTTTTGAGATATCTTGGAAAAGGTAGATAAATTTATTATCGATCACGACGAGGATAATGTTTGCGTCCAATAATCGAATTTATGGACGCGAACTTCTGGAATTGTTTGATTTATTGGGACGACAAGACGAGGAATCTCGAAAGCAGCCAACCTCGTTCGCGCGATAATCAAATACTCGGGCTAATGCTTAAACTTCGAGCAATGGGACTTTGGCTAAACGGATGGTCGGAGTTTAGGACCGGAAGTTGCTACCGCGACTATTGATCGACCTCAACTAGAAAAGCAGGCCACGAGGTAAGCCGCGCATCACGCGAATCGAACAGAGAAAACACGAAGCTTCTTGTTTTAATATGCTTTAGTCGACACCTAGAACGATGCACGTTTATGCATGGGCCATAATATAAATATTCATATTAATTGTCATTGTGTTCATTTATTGATTTTTTTTTTATTTTTTTACTCAAATTTGTGTAGAGCTTTTAAGGCTTGCTTTCATTGTACTCTCCTTTCTTTTTTAATTTTTTTTTTTTGTAATGTTTCTTATCAGGTGGCTATTTACCTTTGCACGAAGTGTTTGTTATATCGTTATCGTTGTTTTACCATGGTGCAGCACAAATATATTATCCCTTTTCCTTTGTCCTTGCAACGCTCGAGTTGCGTCAGCGCGACTTTTCGTGACGCGCGACGGAAACGAGAAAACACGTTGCGGAACCGGCTCCTCGCTTCGAGGGACTCCAGGTGATCGGCTCGAAAGATCGAGGCGTGGTCGAAGATCTTCACTTCAAGATCAACCTACGACAACGTTATTTTACTCTCGAAACTACAATTTTAATTAGTTTCATTATTAAGTTTCTAATCGGACGTCTCTCAAGTTCCGAATGAGTTTCCATTTTCAGTCACGTTCGTTTCGAACTCGGTCAACGTTGCATTTAACTTTTCATTTCACCCTATTCAACGTCCTTTAACATTTCCTCGTTTCCTAAGTTCCATCGATCGATCTAGTAAATTCATTCGAATTGACATAATAGATCAACGTTCCCATAGTTTCAAGAGTAAAAGTAACGGTATCGTAGAAAGTTTTCGATTATTAGATTGTCCACCCGCTCCCCCTTCCCCATGAAATTTAGTCGATTGTGCTTTGTCATTTGTGTGATCGACGAGACGAAAATTACGTGAGAAAAATCGCTGGGGCCAGGCGTGTGTGATATTATTTGCCGCCATTTTGTTTTAGGGACAGAAACAAGATGCCGACCGCCGCCACCGCCGAGAAAACTGCACTTTTGGGGTAAGTTCACGTGAAAGAGGATCGACGAGAGAATGGATTTGTTCAGCCTTCCTTGTAGTTGTTAAAGTATCCCATATATATTAGGTATATACTTTCTTCTTCTTGCTCTTATTCATTTTTGCTCTTTGGCTTAGTTCGGAGATCATCTAGAATATGAGTAGCTTTAGCTCCGGTTGCCAGTAAGTGTATACATATATATATAATACAAAGTAAGAAAAACAAGAAATTTATCTTCATCTATTTTCGATTTGATTCGATTCTATATTCGTAAGATTCTATAATATATATATGTAATAATATATATTTATAGGGTTAAACAAAAATTTCTTCCAATCGATATAATAATTATAAACTTTAGGTAGCAACGAGATGTCCGTTGTTATAGTTCTTTACAATCTTATCACGAAGCAACTCTAACAAAGTACTTTTGTGTTCTGACTATTCTAATTAAGTCGACAAAGGATGACGTCGAAAATAATACGAAGATTTATTATTATTAAAGCATACTCGTTAACGAGTTACCGATCGATCGGCACGCATTATCTCATAAGACGCATCTTCGTTACCGAGAAATCGTTATATTTCATTTACGGACACGTTTCATCGTTGATACAATTAAAAACAATCCGACAATATCCGATCTTACCATGGTTAGAAACTAATATTTTCTACTATGAAACTCGTTAAGTGTCAATCGTTTTAATTGTTTTGCTCTTAGACCCTTTAAATTCTACGAGTGTGCCTAATATTAAGAACATTCCATTTTCATTGATAAACTCGATACGTCTTCCTTCCATTCGAATGCAGTTCTAACATTCATGAATCGCGGATCAAAGTATACTTGAATGATTTTTAAATTCCACTGTACACATTCGGCATGTTGCCAAAAGATTCGCTTGCGATATCGAACTATCATAAATAATAAAAGTTTAAGTTGATTATTGGACTCATGTTAACGAGACATTTTTTTACTCGTTTCGGTGAATACTACAAGTTCTTAAAATGTTGGAACCTTTTTTTTATTACCTTGAATATTTGACAAAAACAAAGAGATATCGTCACGTTTGGACGTTGTTCGTTCTACTTTCCACCGAAAATTGGTTTAATGGAATTTGGCGAGAAGCCATCATTCCACCTGCAATCGTTGCCACGAGCTTTCTCTTTCTATTTTTCTCCAAAGCTTGATTTATGTTTTTCCACGTTCGACTCGATCGATAGTTACTTCTTTTACGTCAGGTCAAATTTACTATATATCGAAAACATTACGAACGTTTAATCATTCCCCAGAATCGTATAAAAATACATCATTAATAGGAAGAAATCAATATTTTACGAGAGAGAAGAAAAAAAAGGAACAAATTCATATAATGAAAAATGTAAGAAAATAAAATACTTCGGTACCGTCGCAATTGATATTATCGAGGAGACGTCCTTGATCCAGATATCTCTTTATGGACATTATATGTCGTGAGTCGCGTACTACGCGAGTCCAGGATCGTACGAGTCATTTTGTTGAATTAAAACGAAACCTTGAGAAGAACGTGTCATTTAACACTAAACGTATCACGACCGGTCGAGAAAATGACTTGTTTTAAATTATTCATTAAAATTCTTTATTGAATATTATTGCTGTATCTTTATTTAACTTAATAACAATTATATTATAATTATAAATATCATTTTAATTGTTACTTAAGTCAACAACGAATTGGTTGTTATCCGCATTTAATTGTAAAAAAAAATATAACTTTTGTGAAATACCGGTCATTCGATCGATTACGGTAGAAATAGGGGCAACATAAATTGTCGATTGGTTCAATGTTAAATATATTGCGACAAATAGAAGAAAAGGAGAACTGCTGACTGATGACGGAGGTAACGAAAGCTTCGAATTTATTCTTAAAAGTACGATGCAATTATAATCGTTCTTATATTATAAATTCGAATGATTTCTCTTTCTCTCCTCCCTCTCTTCCTCTTCTTCCATCTAGCTTATTTTCGTATCTTTTGTATTCCTTGAAACATTCGCTCTTGGTGACCTTGGTTAAAAGTTGCATTTGCTTGATGCATCGTCTTTATTCGATTGCCGCGTTCGAAAGAAAAAAAAAAAAAAGAAAGGAAAGAAAATTCAATGAAACTGTCGCGATTGGAATGTAGTATGGCTTTTCTTGAACGAACTATACATACGTGTGTACGTATGTATTTATAATATATATGTAGTACATCCTTTGTGTTTTATGCATGCGTGCATGAACTATTTCTTCGTTCCTCTTGCTCCCTCTCTCTCTTGATCTTACTTATTTCGGAGAAAAATACGAGCTACCGATAAAACAGGATGTAAATCGATCCCCTTCTTCGTAACGTCGTTTTACTTTTGCGACTTTACGTCGTCGGTGGTATAATAAGACCACAAAAAATCAAGTCCGGTTAATCGATCGATAAAAAGGATACCAAAGGGATATCAAATTACGGAATATCGTGTGTTTCCATAGCCACCCATCTGTTTCTTGTGGTTTATAATCTTCCCAATCCTTTTCTTATCTTTTTTTTAATACTTTCAAATTTAAAGTGTCAGAAGAAGCAGGAAAAAAGAAGAACAAATAATAGTAATTTCATGTAGCAGGACAGTTGATATCTTGTACGTCGTCATTTACATGTTATCATCGACGTTCTAAAGTTGGTAGGTGGAATACAAACCGGATTTAACTTTGACCGGAAATGAGAGTCTGACGTGTCCGAGATACGGAAAAGTACTTACGCATGTACCCCGTTTGATAGTGCTTGGAATGCTAACGAACTTGATTACTTTGTTCTTCATCTTTTCTCGCTGATACCAAGAGCACACGGGAAGAATAATAAAAATATAAATTACTTTATAATTTCTATATGTTAACTAATGAAAGTGTTAATCGACAATTGTACTTTATTCAATCACGTGATTGCAAGTAATAAATTTGCAATAGGATTTTCAAAAAATAAAAAATCGAAAGCTCTAATAGTTTACTTTTGAATATTAACTCGTAGAATTTTTCTATTCGAGCTTCGCGTTCCAGATTAGAATTTCCGTGTTCGTAAGTAGACACAATGCAGTTCTCTTTATGGAAATATCGATTTGCGGGTTGTAGTAACCACAACGCGATATCTGCGTTTCCTTTGCTTCGTCTGTTTCAATCTTTCAATAAGAAGCTAACAATTTCAAGTAATCTATGCAACTTAAATATATAACTTTGTAATAAAAGAACCCAAGTACATTTATACGACAAACTTCAATTAAAATGTTAACTGATTAATAACCCTGACGCAAAAGATAATCGACGATTAAAAAAACTATTCGCTACAACGCAACAAAATACAATTGAAACTCGTGTACGATAAGGTTAAAAAAATAATTTACACTTAAGCGTTTAATCAGACGAGATATTTAATAAAGTAGACAGCAAAGAGAGCAAATGTTTCTCCTGTGAGACATAAAAGAGAATAGACGACGTGTTCTTCCTTGCGAGCTTTGTCTGTTCAGTTCATATAAAGGGTTAAAAAAGGACAATGTTACAACATAATAGACCTTTGGAACGATTTGTTCACTTTTACGAGAACACCGTATTTTCTCTCCTGCTACATGACTATCCTTATCCTTTGATATTTTCCTTCAACACACAGAAGGTATTTTTTTGTTTGTTTATTTTACTCTCTCGTATTTCCGACGAGAAAAGAATTTTCGTGGTTGAACGTTCGTACCTTCAATGTGTTACTCGACATTTGTTTAATTAATTACATCGAGGTTAAGCGACGAAAAAGAGCGATTTCAAAAACACTAAATAAAATTTTTACAAATGTTGCCAATTATCAAATGTTCGAATTTTTTCATCGATAGAATCAATTCTAAAATAAATTAGATATTAATTATTGCAGACGAAGCTAAGAATCTCGTCTGTAATTATATACTCGTTTTGAAAATAATTGTTCAAATGCGTTTTGTTTGAAGTTACTTCGCCCAACTGGGCGTGGTCTTTGATCGATACCATAAAAAGATCAGACGAAACGTTTTATCTAGAATAGACACACTCGAACTTCTATATTATACGAATATTACGCGTCAACTTGGTTTTTTCTATAGTAAAAAATGTGTTCTCATTCATGTATGCACATAGTAGATAGAGACTTTGGAAAAGCTTTTAATTCTGACTCAGTTCGTTTTATTTCTATACCTTTTGTTTCATAATACGATCCAGTAAAAATTGTGACCAAATTAAAACGGGGAAAATGTGAATGCCAAAAAAAAAAAGAAAATCTATATAAAAAGGAACCCCTTCTCGACGAGAAACTACTCGTTATACAACGAGGCCAGTAATTCAACGAGTAATAATTTTGCTGGGTACATACTGCGTGCGTCAATTGCACACGCGCGGTTTCGTTTAAGTGCACTTTCATGGTGCACGGTTAGAATCTTGTGAACTCTACTTGAAAATTTTATAAGGGCTTACGAATTAAAGTATCTCCAGCCAAATCTAATGGGTGAATATATCTACTAACGGTTAAAAAAACAATCGGAAAGTACGAATACCATTTTTTCCAACGTATGCTATCTTATCTCTTTGATAGTTCCATCTTTACACATAGAGGAATGAGAAAGTTCGTTTGTGTTTGCGTTATAATATGCGGAATTATGCACAAGGGGTATGCATATAATATCGATTATCTAAAATACGCTTTTCGCAGCGTACTTCACTGCAAAGCGTTTCGATAAAATAATTATGACATTAATACACATTAATATATCAAAAAAAAAAAAGGGGAAGCGAGACTTCTTTATTCTTTTTTAAACTGCGAAGTTATATTCTAGAGAAAGAAATAACATTTAATCTTCTTTTCTTTTCCTTCTCGAGGAGAGAATAGAAAAATTTAATTAAAGAAAAAACCTCCGGATTACGAGCGTAAAAAATATTCTTTGTTTTCTCTGTAAAAGGGTGTAGATTCAACGAAAAAAATAATTCATTTATCGAAACTTTAATAATCAAGAGAGTTTTTTTCCCATGCTTAGCACGATGCCTTCGTGCATGCGAGATAGTATGGACGATATCGAGCTGAAGAATATTCAGTTACAATTTCCGGCCCTGAGGTATTTGTCGAGAGACGATAGTTCTGTACGAGAGGAAAGAGTAGAACTGGACAAAGGTAGTCTGCTAGTTGCCGTACAAGGAAACCAGGCGAAACCAGCGATCCTTACTTATCACGATTTAGGCCTTAATTGTGAGTATCAACCAAAATTGTACATTTTAAAAGGTTAAGTCACTTAAGTTCGAAAATAACAATAAGAAATGAAGGCATCTTGCAAGAGAATCAATATTTTGACCGTCTTCTGACGAAACACATGCATATATGCAAGTTCGCGTGTGATAGATCACGATCTACCTAGCAACTTTCCAAGGACTAACTTTTCAAGTTTGTAGCATAAACGATTTTGACGAAACAATTGTTCTTGAAAATAATGTGCTTTTCTAATCGCTAATTTAATTATTTTTCTTTTTACAACCAACCCAATTAGAGAATTAATATTTTAATTGTAATGAAAATGAATGGGAATAAAATTGCTGGATAAAATGTTGTATCGTATTAATATAAAATTTCGTTGTTTTAGATATCTCGAGCTTCCAGGCGTTCTTCAATTACATCGACATGCGTGTTCTCCTTGAAAATTTTTGCGTTTATCACGTCAATGCCCCTGGCCAAGAAGAAAATGCCCCGGCGCTTCCGGAGGAGTGAGTATACGTATATATATATAGACAAGCATAGCTACTATCATAATGAAAAACCCGTTTGGTTAAAGAAACTCGCAACTACTCTACGTCGTCTACGTAGAATAAAAAGCAATATTCTTGGTACGTTTCGCGGATACATCCACTACGTACACACCGAAAACTACAAAGTCTCTTGTCGGTGCTAACGAGGTCACTAATTAAAAACGGATTATCGTATACACGATTCGAGATGGAAAATACCTCTGGTTGATGTTTATACATATGCCTACATATTTCATATTCTACTTGGCAACACGACCCTTGTAATAGTTGTGAATAGTTTAAATGGTATCACTGGGAGGGAAATTAATTAACGCAAAAATCAATGAACCCATCAACGTTCTAATTAATCGAAGCCCCGAAGTACGAAGCCTGCTTTCGTTCCGTTTTCCATCAAAGTTGTTTGCAATGTTCTTTAGATTCTTTCAGTTTCTTTAGGTTATAAGGATTCAATAATTGTTATTGGAAATATAAAGCTGGAAAGAAACATTATTATTTCTTTGGGATATCTATTTATATCTATTGAATGAGAAAATGATTGCGTGTTGCGTGAATCGTAACAATAATATAGTGAATGAACGAACATATGTCATAATTTCATCGGACAAATTGAGATAGAAAATGATATAACGAGTAATGCTGTGCTAGCAGTAATTTTAACTATTACTACGTTCTGCGCATTCTCATTCGCGTGCCAAGTTCAACGAGAACGTATAGAATGATTTAATTGTATTAGTTTTCTTTGAAATCTTTCATTATATAGTATAAAGTTAAGAGATTTTTCATTTCAGAGACAATAAATTTTCATCAATGACGTAATTTCTAATACTAGTTAACAATTTATTAAATAAATGATCTAAACATTTATCTTTTTTCTCTATAGTTACATTTATCCGTCCATGGAGGAGTTAGCAGAACAGCTGCTTTTCGTTCTTGGTCATTTCGGCTTAAGATCTGTCATTGGTTTTGGAGTTGGTGCGGGTGCCAATATATTGGCTAGATTTGCACTTGCACATCCAGAAAAAGTCAATKCACTTTGCCTGATCAATTGCGTATCTACGCAAGCAGGATGGATCGAATGGGGTTACCAGAAGCTCAACGTTCGTCATCTGAGGTCACAAGGAATGACGCAAAGCGTCCTTGATTATCTGATGTGGCATCATTTTGGCAGGGTAAGATGTGTTCAACGTAATACAAATTGAATTACATTATGTCAGAACTAAAGATTTTATCGAACAATTTTTCTCTACACATATCGGATTGATACATGAATAAGTTTTAATCAAAAGTTGACTATTACAATTTGTCAATTACCGAATAATTAACTAATAAGGATTACAATTAGTATATACGCATACATCAATCCAATAATTATTGCTAAGAAAACGAACTGTATAAATACTCTTAGTAGGTAATCTCGTTAAAAATAACTCGTTCGCAATGCAAGAGGTATATTTGTCGTAACAGCGTGGTCATTTATAGCGAAACTTCTCCATGAAAGATTTATTCGATAGACACGCGTACCATTTGAGTAAACTGAAACGCTCGATGCTCCATCGAGTCGATCAAGCGGACGAGGTTCGGGTGAAAGCGTACAAAGAATTATAGACGACAAAGCTTCGAGCTCTCCTTCAACGGCATTCGCCCGTGAACGCATCTATGCGAGGCGAGAAAATTGGATTAGCGCGTCAGCGGCAATTTCACCGCCCTTATTATGCAACACGTAGCTTCTTAATAGGTTTACCGGGTATAACGTAGAGTGCAGAGATATATTTAGTGAACAAGAAAAAGAACAAGAAAAATATTATCATGTAGGCTGTGCACATAATCGAAGAGAAACTCAGAAACTCATTTTGACGATGATCATTAAGTCAAATTCGAAAGTTACTTCGATGGGAGTCCTTTTTACCAAAGATTTCTCCTCTACAGTCGTACCGTTACATTTTTTACTTACTCTTAATGACGGTTTCTCCATTCTCTCTTTCAACTTAACTTTTTTACTTTACCTTATGGAACGAAAAAAAGAACGAACAGTTCCACAAAATGTTCTGTTCTGGGGGGAGAGGGATCCAATGATTGAAAAATTTATAATTGAATTTTGTTTCTTTTCCTTTCAGGGTACGGAAGAAAGAAACCACGATCTCGTTCAAGTGTACAAGAATTATTTCGAACATCGCGTTAATCCAATAAACCTGGCATTGTTCATCGACAGTTATCTGCGACGTACTGATTTGAACATCACCAGAGAACTGGATCCTACTCGCAAGAAGGAAGGTCTTACGCTTAGCGTACCAGTCATGAACATCACTGGTGCTCTGAGTCCGCACGTGGACGATACGGTTACGTTAAATGGACGGTTAGATCCAACGAACAGCACCTGGATGAAGGTGAGAATTGTAGCCGCAACGCATCGAATAATCGGCTTTCCGGCTTTCGAATCTGGAGCAAGTGCCTATCCGAGGCTAGCCGAATTCCAGCACTTCGGTCTCTTTCTCCAGTGTAGCACATACCGTTAAGCGAAATCCATTTAAACCGCAAGCTCGTCGTAACCTGTAGTGGTGGTTTTCTTCGTATGTACATACCTAATGTACACACATCTTGTTTGTTTCTCATTAGAGTCGATTCGTATCGATCGCGACGGCCAATACAAGCTCGATTTTTCTTTCCCTTCTGATTTATTTTCTGACAATTTTTCATTCGAACAAATGATTACTACGTACAATTTTTCAGATCTCCGATTGCGGTATGGTCCTCGAGGAACAACCGGGCAAAGTAAGCGAGGCCTTTCGACTGTTTCTTCAAGGCGAAGGATATGGTAAGTGAGTGCCGTTGCGAAAAACAAGTTAGAATTAATATTAACAAGAATATCAATCGGTAATCCTCATCGATCTTCATCCATTCGACCGTACTACCGCACACGCGCAGGCATACTTCATAGGTGAATTGCACGTGACCGTCTGGTAGCGGGGAAAATATTTGCCTGTTACCTGCATTTTACTGCCCCCGAGAACAGAACGCGGAGACACACACTCGCAAAAGGATCGGGAAACTTCCGAGGACTCCCTTTTTTTTCAAGGCGCACTCAAAAATATCGATCGGGAGTTTCTGTAAATAGTTCGTACAAACAACACATACATATGTATATGTATATGTATAATCGTATACGCCCATACGGCATCAATCGAATTCTTTCTTATTATTTTCTTTTTTGATTTTCTTGTTATTTTGTATACACCAGATGGTCCCGTATATGCTTCAACAAATACCTATTCGGAAATATGTATTCTCAAGAGAGGGAAGTTAGTTCGTGAATATTCGTAGTCCTAAGTTTGTGCCCCCTATCGATCGGTATAGATCGCATCGTATCGTTATTATTAGTAACATTTGGCCTAAAGAGAGTAGTGTTGTACTATAGATACGTAGTAAATCCTATTTACGATATCGATCATTAATAATTATCCTTTACTGACGCGTTTTTTCGTACAATTCAAGGATCGTTGACAAACGAACTTACGCTTTTATAATGTACGAATATTGTATGCTTATACGTTTTCCTTTTCTTTTTTTTTCTTCTTTTTTAATTTTGTCCAAGTAGATGCCAAAAATAGAAAATATAAAATAATTCCGCTAAGAGCATCCAGCTCTCGTTAGAGTCTTTAAGATTTCTCAAGGTTCAAAAGAAGATTTCCTTGGGAGAACTTTGAAAGCGTAAAGTTCGACGACGATCTGTTCTTGGATTAGTAGAATTTTGATTCACCATTTGAATACTTGCTTTTGCAAGTGCAGAAAAAAAAAGAAAAAAAAAAAACGCAAGATTCGCGTGTAAGAATTAAATCCGTAATAAGGAAAATTTGTGAAAACTAGCAACGTTCCAATTTCTTCTTCCGTTTTTTGGCTTTTTGATCGCAGAAACACTGAGCACCTATCACAAAACACATCGCAGCTTTTTTTATCTCGGTCGGTTAATACCGACAAACGACACATGTTTTTTCCTATTTACGTCATAATTGAAAAACATTTTTCTTTTTTCATAATGATACCATTAGTTCTTTCTAATCATATTTAAATGGATAGCGTACGCGTAAAACAAACAAATAGAAATGATTCGAGTTTGATTATGATCGATTATGCAATATTGGAAAATCTGCGAATGCGCTATCCAATAACGCCCAAGCTGTTGTTAATGCTAATCTCGATTGATTATCTCTGTCATCGTCCTCATCGCCATCATTGTCATGATCGTCATCGTCGTTAATTATTGTTGTTGTTACGATTTTCGCTATTATAAATCGCCTAGAGGTTTCATGTTGTACCAATGACGGGATGTCCATCGCGCTTGGATCTTCGTGTTTTATGAAATATTAAGCATGGCAATTTCGCGGCTAATTGGGAAAATTAGAAAAAGCTTATGTGGATGCCTTTATCGTTTGTCAAAATAATCGAATAAAATCGTTCGGTCAACGTACTTGATATCGCATGATTTTCAAGGAAATACCAAGATCCAACTAGATCCTTGATCATGTACTCTGTCCCGGTTAATCACCGGCTCGACTTGATAAATAAAAGAGTATTTAAAAAGGAAAGATTCAAGTGAATTCGTTTTTGCGTCTCTCACCACCATTATCATTTTGTTTTCTGTGAGGTTCTTTAGAAAGGAATAATAAAAATAAAAATAAAAAAAAAAAAAGAATAAAAAAAAAATATATATATATAAAATAAAATAAAGAAAAGAGAAACGAAAGGCAAATGAAAAAAGTACTTGTTCACCGACTTGCGCCTTTATTTCCCACGCGTCTCGGATCGATCGAGGGGTACGTATTTATTATATTAGATCTCTAAGCAGAATAGATGATAGATTAGTTTTTGCTTTTTCGCTTAATTTTCTTCTCTTTTATTTTCGCTAAGATCGCGATAGCTCTGTATGCGCCTTGAGTAGAAACACTTTTAGTAAAAATAGTACAATGTTTTTCTGAACAAATATATATATATATTGAAATTTAGGTAGAAAATTAAATACGCATTTCTTCGTCGTGGCTCGTGTCCATCTTTTAACATATTACGATCCGTTTATTTGTTAAATATTTCATACACGTATATATAGACACGAGCCAAACGAAGAATCTAGCTTGCTCCGCTTTTGCGTGCCCTGATACACGAACGTTTATTTGTTCTTGTATCGGTCTACATTTGAAAAGAAGTAAATTTTTCGAAATTTACTTCATGCTCGTAATAGCTTTTTAATGACTAATTATTATTTAGACGTTTAAACAAGTTTGTTCTCTTATGCCTTTTAGCGGTGAGATCCTCGCGGAAGCCCATGACGCCGACAACACCCGAAGGTAATTGTAATTAGGAATTGAAGGCCGCAAGGAGTCGAGTGCGCAGTTGGTCAATTAGGCCACATCTATGTGTTAAGTAAGTCGGAATTTCAACTTTTATCGGAACGTATAATAAACAAAAGGAAAAGAGATTAATTGGCGATTATTATATTTTCGATAACGAATTTGGGAACCTGGGCTGCGTTTGACGGGAGAGAATCGGTGAAAGATCTAAACTAACTACCAACTTCCCTTTGAGTATCACGCTACTACTTTTTACGATAGCCTTTATATAATTACCTTTTCTTATAAAACTTATTACGATTTTGTCAAACTCGACATTCCTTCTCCGTCCTGTAATAATATACATACGTTAATCTATTCTACTTTATCGCCATAAATGTTGGGATTATTACTCGCGAGCGAATTCGCGAGGAACAAAGAAAACTATTTTTGAATTATTTTTATGTGTGTGTGATTTTTAAAACCATAAGAAAATGTTGAAGTAATTATAAACAATGTGTGTAGAGAAAATGAACTTCTATTTACCGAATTCGCTTGTTCGATCGGAACATTTATCGATAGTCGATAAGAAAGAGAATTTCTTACCGATGATCGATAAATCCAAATTCTATACAATCGAGTTACGTCACAAAAAGTGGCAGCAATCGACCTTTTGCGCTATCTTCTCGTGCAGGTGATTTGTAAATTAGAATTTTTATGTTGTGCAGAGAAAAAGCGTCTCTTGTTGTAGCGGCACATACCGATGGTAGGACCTCGGAATAATCTTAATCTCTGAAAGAAAGAACACCGCATCTGGGTAGTAGAATATTTCCATTTGTGCAAAATCACATTGTGTCCTGCTGTACGCGCACACACAAATACACACACAAACACACATCCACAGTACATACATACAAGCACACGCCCACGCAATACAAAATACAGATACTCGTAAACGCGAAAAATGCAACACTATATACATACAATCACCAAGGATACATTCAACTCTCTACTTTTACATTGCATGCGTGCTTGCCACTTTGATTTTTTTCCTTTTTGTTCTTTGATCGATAATTATTTCTTACGCGTATATCTCTTATGTATTCGAACAAGGAAAGAGAACGCGCGAGTCATGGCTGATCGGATTACTAAAAGCAGTGTTCTCATGAGGAGCAACCAAAAAAAATAAAGTATCAACGTAATGATAAAGATGATTTAAAAAATTTCCATTGATTTTTCTATTTCAGTGGCCCCACTTTCGCCATTGAAGATGGCCGACTATAGATTGGCTTCTCTGGAAGGACTGAATCATGTTTGCAGCAAGAAAATCGATTGGCCTACAGCGACTATACACATCACCGAGAATCCTATATCGGAAGCGGTTGTTTGTTAAATGTTTCTCGATGAATCTCAACCACCACCCCTATTGAATTTTTTTTCATTATAAGACTTACCTAATCGGCGATAGATCAGACGACACGACGACTATAGATAATTTCAAGGTTTCGTCGGAGCAACGATCGTCGTAACATTCGTTTTAATTTACCTTCGAGCCGATATCGCATATATTTTTAACTCTCTTCGGCTGCGATTTCAGTTCAGTTACATTTTATTATTACTCTTTCCTTTGCTTTCGCTTTTATATTCTTACCTTCTTGATTTTTTCTAAATTATTATCTTATATTAGGAAAATTACTTGATATAACTGTGATGCGAAACTGCGTTGTTTAACAAAATAAAGAAAGACGCAAAACAGATAAAATAAAGAGAAAGAAAAAGAAAGAGAAAGAGAGAGAGAGAGTGAGAAAGAGAGAGAGAGAGAAAGAGAGAGAGAGAGAGAGAGAGAAAGAGAGAGAGAGAGAGAGAGAGAGAGAGGGAGAGAAATATTTATTACGAGTCATTTCTCGAATGTCGTTGCATTTTTAAAACGTGACTTATCACAAATTTTCTAATGTTAAGGAAGATAACAAAAAAAAAACTAATTAACGAGTTTACCGGTTCGTTTAATTTTAAAATTGATATTGAATATTTTAACGGTGCTTTTAAAACGGAAAACATTTGTATTAATACAATTTTAAGACGTTGTTACGACGCCTTTAGAAAAAAGGAAGGAAAACACACATGCACACCACACATTTGCGATAAGTCAACGACGCTCGTTGTTGTCGTTAACAAAACATACAGTGACGATAATATCGCGAGACGCGAGATTTTTTAAAGAAAATGTCAATCAGTAAAAAAACCATCATTGAACGTTCATGAATAATCGAGAGAGGATAGGATAATTTTCTTCGCAAAAATCCTCAAACACACAACGAACTCGCAATTTTTAAACGAGGATAATTTTAACAACCGTTGATGGGGAAAAAAATTGAACGATATTAGCTTAGCGTACATATCGGGACAGGAGAACGAATAAACTTTCTTTTGTAACGTTGTCTTCATAATTATGCCAACATTTACGATCGAGGCGAATTTTATGCGGATACATAAGAAAAGCAAGAACTCGCAATACGATACTTCTTTCATCCCATAAAGCACTATTAATAATTAATTATATATACTCACACACACTCTCTCTCACACACATACACATACAAACACACACACACACACACAAATAAATATACGAGTGTAAAAAGAAATCAAAAAAATTTAATGAAATGAACAAAAAGTAGAAATTATACGGTGGCATTGTGCAGAAAGAAAAATAAAGAACAGAGAAAATCGCGTTTATCCGAGACTGAAATTCATCAACAGCTGTGTCTATCGATTTTTTTTCCGAAGAAAGAGAAACGATCGATTCTCGTCGTTTAATCGATCCAAATGAAGATGTGATATTTACGTGCAAATGTAAAGTTTCGGCAATGACAGTAAAAACATTTCAGACGAATACAATACGAAAGATCATTAAAAGCGACAGATGATGCTGTTAACTAGATCATCTGTCAACGCCATAAAGTGTCCTAGCGGTGGGAAGGCGGGTGGGGGGTCGTTTATAGCGAGAAAAAGAAATTGTTCGTGGTTTATTGGCCTAAGGATGAAATCGAAGGACCTAAGAAACAAGTCGATCGACTTTTCTTCTTTCGTCGAACTTTCACGATTTAGGTGCAGATAAGGATTGATACGATCTTTACGTTTTACAGAAAAAATTCTTTCGAGAACAAATCGTTGTAGAATTTATATGCTGCTATCTGTTCTCGAATGAGATTTTCGATCAATCCTTTTTCCCTTTCTACAAAGAATTGTTGTAGGGAGAGAGAGAGAGAGAGAGAGAAAGAACGCCTAAATTAGATTTGCGTTCTTGCACTGTTCGCACCGTTTCTTTTTATTTCAAAGTGTATATAGATACACATAGAAGAAAAAAAAAATGGCAATGAATGGTCGACAATGTGTTCGAGTGCCAGCGTGTACGTGTAGAAAGAAAAAAAAGAAAAAAAGAAACCTATAGTAGAAGAGAATATTAGATAGGTAGTCACTAAAGTAAATAAATAAGTCAAAAAGATCTGGTTTATTACATCCGCATGGTTCTACCAGGCTCTTTCAAGCCTCTAGCGTGATATGATAAGACGTGCCTGCTACATGATGTTGTACTACGTAGCTTTCGAAAGTTCCACCCCGCCTTTAGTTTTATATGTGATGAGACTCTTCTTCGTATCAAATTTTCTCGTATCTTTGTGCGTTCACTATTGCGATAACATCTCACTTTTAACGAAATGAAGGAATAATAAATGGGCAATTCTATCTTTATTCTTTATATCTCGCGAGAGTTGTTATTACTGATCGGTGAAAATGAGTTAAGGGAAAATAATATATATATATATATATATGTTTTTTTTTTTTATTTTTCCTATCGATAAATCGTCGAAGCGCAAAGAAACGAGAATAATGTAAAATTAATTACAAAGATCTCGAAGATAAGACTTAGTCGCTCTATGTAGATGAGAAAGTTTGTAATGAGAAACCGGATATATGTATAATAGATGTATGTATATCTATGACGCGTTGTTTAGACTGTCGCGAATATAATAGCATATAGCTTAATATTACAGAAGTTCGTGGCTCGATTCGTGAGAATTGAAAAGGATGCAGAATGCACGCATTAAAAAAGCTGCTAACGTGAGCTCTAAGTAAGTAAGAATAACGTAGCCTTTAAGGACCATCGATACACCGCCAATAATATACGTATATATCCTAAATTCCCGTGTTATTTCTCATTCTTCGTTATCAGAGATTCAAGCCGACTGTTAGATTAATTGCGTATTAGATTGGATCATTCGAAATTATGATTAGAATTACCAAAATAAATATATATATAAATACCTGCATTCGATTAAAACATATCGACGAAGATGAATTTGGTGAACGCTAAATACACTTTGAATTTTCGATTGTCGGTACGATCTTTTAAAGAATACGATTCTTTGTCGAGAAAATCTCTTCTCGAAGTGCATATCAGTAACGTATGTATATCAAATTGTAAACGACACTCCCCACCCCCTTTCGTATGTGAAATTGAACGAAACAATAAGAAGATAGAAAAAAATGTTTCCTTTTTGCATTATAAATATCGGTATACATACTGATTCATTTTTACGTGCGTCACGACAAATCGTATTTCAGGATATTAATTTTTATCATATTACACGAGATTTTTTATCTCACATACAATCAAATGAATTCGGATTGGAAAAAAGGACCGAAAATAACATATACAAAGACGTCTTTTCATGGGATCTATCGTTTTCATCCGTCAATACGTTCAATGCGCGACGAGATTGAATATTTTGGTTTTTTTTTTTTTTCTTTCGTTTCTGTAGTTTTTCTTTATCTCGATTAAATTTTCGTACTTACAATTTGTTCGATTTTTCTTTTCTTTGTTTTTTTTTTCTTTTTTTCACGCTATACTCTACCTAACGTAGCACGAGGCGTACTGAGTTCGGGGCGTAAATGAAATATAGCACAGTAAGAGCAAACTCTACTTATTGTTAGACGCGGAGCTTGAATACATATAAAATACGTTATACTGATTAAAAAAACACGTGCGCACTGAACAAATACATCTTGTTATTTATAATAAATGAATTCAAAAGCAAATATTTATTATTTCTACTGTATAAATCTGCACGACGTTCCTCCTTACATTTACATTTTATCTTCAATTTATATATATATACGGTAAGCAAGGTGAAAATTTCTTACTAATCTCTTTTTAAATATTTCGGTACTAGCGTCAACTACAATCGTCATCTATGTGAAAGCCTGTGAAGTCCAAGCACCGACATAGTCAACTATTTGCGGAACGAAACATCCTAATCCTAACATCGATTATAAACTGCTTTCATTATTCAATACAATAAATGTTGATTTTTTTAAATTTAGTTTTCATTTACTCTCTATTGCCTGGATTTTTTCTGTGTATATGATTATAAAAAATAATGATATAACTTGGAATTAACTAATATTAATCGATACAAAAAATCTGCCTACAAAATAGGGACTATATAAAATAATATATGTGCACACATACACAACTAAACAAACTTAACAAAACAACAAACAAAGCTAAAACCAAAGGATTAATAACACATACTTTTCCTATATTATCTTATAAAAATAAATCAATAGCATATTTAATTGATATAGCGTACTTAAAATAGTGATTTACTAATTTCTTTCTATACATACCAAATGCTTTAACAAAATGAACGACTTTCTTGTCGTAGATATTCTCAATGCATAAAATGTACGCGTATCATGGTGATATGAAAATGCCACTTCTACTTACGCACCTTTTCACATATACATAATCGAGATAAAAAAAAAAGTGTTAAACCGATAAAGAGTAAACCTGGTAGGACTACACTTCCCGTCAATTTTCTCACGACTACTTTTAACCCATTACAACATTTCGAACACCCGTTCGGTCACTCGTGTGGAAAGATTAAAAACACGAGTAATATATTTGCATTCTACGTGCTTAATTCTACTGTTACTTTGAAATAATAATTTAGTAACATTATTTAAATGATTAATAAACAAGATAATAGTTAATGCAAAATCGAATATTTTATGTAAAAAAGTAAGGAAAAAACAAAATTGAATGAATTCAAATACTTATTGTAATTTCTTTGTCTGAAAAACATTTAGGATTCTTTGAGAGAGCAACAGAAGTTGGTTAATGGCAAATAAAAAGGTTCAACAATATTTCTTATTTTTCTATCGTGCAGGTGTTCGTTAATTTCTAGTTATTTACGAAATTGCGCAAAGAGTTTTCTCGCATAGGTAGGAGCTATCTCACGTACATAGGTACATCGGTCGATCGCGTACGCGTTTCAATGACGAGAAACCAGTTTCGTTGAGCGATTTTTGCGACGATAAAACAAGACGCGTCTTCGAGGAATCGACGGCATCGTACGCAAGTACGTTTACCCTCTCTGATTTGCAATGATCGCTCGTGCACGCGTATGTATGCACGCGTATGCACGTACACACATACTTACGTCATACCTTCTTTTTATCTTATCCCTTTTGGCATAATCGGAAACTTACTTACGACTTTTTCGCTGCATCCTCTTTTTCTTTAAACTTCTATACGTCATTCCAATTTCATTGCATTCATCGTTGCAAATTCAAATCACAAACTTTCGTGTAAAAGTAACAACGAGTAATTACAAACGACGAGGGAATCGACGAAACGTTAGTTGAAGAAATTTTGTTGAAAACGAAAGAAATAATATAAATACGCAAAATATAACGAAATATACAAATTTCAACGTAAGTC